GAAAAGAATATTCCAAGCTCTTTTTCTCTCTTAGTTTAAAGCAGATGGTTTACATAGTTGCATCTAATATATTAATAAGTGTGTGCCCTTAATATTAACAAGTGTGTGTGTGTGTGTGTGTGTGTGTGTTCGTGTTCATTCGTGTTCTTTCATGTGGTATTAGTTTGATTGTATCAGCTGGCAGTGTTGACCCCTCTAGGGGCTACCCAAAGCCCCATACAGATAGAATATTTTGTGTGTGTTTTTCTCTCTCTTCCTTAGGGTACATGACCAGTACCTCTGTTCCTTGTTTTTCTCATTCCAGTCTTTCAGTTCTCTTAAAAATAAAATCTTCAATAGAGGTGACTTGAAATGCTGTATTCAAATCAGTTTCCTCAACGGTAGTTGAAGAAAAAGTAAACACCAGAATATCTAAATATAAAGACCAGGGTCCATAATGTTCAAAGTGACCAAACGGACGACCGAACGCCAGGCTGCGCATGCAGCAGGCTCGGGTGGGCGGGGACTGGCGAACGGGCTGAACTGCTGACCTCTCGATCCACCCCCACCCCCACCCCCCATCCCCAGCTCCCACGGGTGCCATGGTGACCCAGCACTGACTGCTGAGGGGGCTGTGGGCCCCGGCTGGCCAGGGAGCAGTGGAACTCGGTCTCGCGTGATTGGGGGTGTGGCCGGCCTTCAAACCAGACCCTGACGGGAGGGAGGAGGGAGCCCCATGCCTCACAGAATCGGCCATTGGATAGCTTGCTGTCAGCGGCCTGCCAGCCAGGAATCCCATTCACCTGCACCCCAGACCTCAGTGATCAGGTAGGCAGAGACAGTTAGGGGCGATCAGGCTGGCAGGGGAGAGAAGTTAGGAGTGAGATCAGGCCGGCAGGGGAGAGCAGTTAGGGATGAGATCAGGCCCGCAGGGGAGGGCAGTTAAGGGTAATCAGGCAGGCAAGCAGAGAGGTTAGGGGCGATCAGGCAGGCAGGCAGGCAGGTGAGCGGTTAGGAGGCAGCAGTCCCAGATTGCGAGAGGGATGTCCGACTGCCAGTTTAGGCCCGATCCCAAACCGGCAGTCGGACATCCCCCAAGGCATCCCTGATTGGAGGCTGGGCTGAGGGACCCCCCCCCCCCCCCCGTGAACAAATTGCGTGCACTGGGCCACTAGGTTCTTATAAGAGAATCTTGTGGCTGAAGAGGGGTTCCTGCCTGTTGGCCCAGGGTTTGCATCAGGCACAGCCGCTCATCCTGGTCAGCTGAGTGGCGCTCCCCCTATGGTAGCACACTGACCACCAGGGGACAGTTCCTGCTTTGAGAGTCTGCCCCCTTGTGGTCAGTGCATGTCATAGTGACTGGTTGACTGGTCATTCTGGTCGTTCCACCGTTTGGTCCTGGGCTTGTATTATATAGGATTTTGGTATAAAATAAGGATCCCAGTTTTATTCATTGGGCTACAGTTTGTTATCATTATCATTTATTCTGATGTTCAAATTGTCCAGAATTTAGCCAGTGGAAACTTTTTCTGGTTGGCTCCTGTGCATCCCTCCTTGCTTTCTACCATTACCCAGTTCAAGCTTTCATTACTTTTTACCTGGGTTTTTGCATTAGCCTCAAGTTAATTCAGTAAACGTTATGCAAGTACTGTACCTTCTGCATCTTTGCCTTGGCTTTGCCTACAGTGCCTCTCTCTTAAAGGTAGCTAAATTAAGTGCTTCTAGAAGCCAAGTTCTGGAGTGATAGGGAAGGGACTGTAGTGAATTCAGTGCCTGCCTATCTGTGTATTTACTGAGAGCTGAATTAGGGGTACATTGTTGCCAAACCTTTCAAATCTTAAGAGAAACTAGAAATTCATATTCGTATGTGAAATCTTAAAATTTCTAGAATGCACCTGTCTTCTAGATACTTCAACAAAAAGAAGATTAACATTGCATTTTAATATATTAAAGACTGAGAAGTCTTCCAGTAAAGTCTGTCTTAAGATTCTGGATACCTTAGTCTGGCCTAAGAGTCTCTTTACCATTTGACTGCAGCCTATGCATTGATGTTCGGAAGAATGTGTTAGATTACTTCTCATTTCTAGTGTTCAGATGGATTATTCTCTTAGCCTGGAATGCTCCTATGCTGTTGACCTCATTCCTCACTCAGTTCCTCTGATCCTGGCACATTGTGGCTCTCTTAATTAAATGTTAATAGCTTTTATATCTTCTTCTGGCTGAAGACAGAGACATTATACTTAATACTAGAGGTCCAGTGCACAAAATTCGTGCACTGGGGTGGGGAGGTCACTCAGCCTAGCCTGCACCCTCTCACAGTCCAGGGGGAAATCCCTCTCCCAGTCCAGGACCCCTTGCTCCTTACTGCCCTCCTGCTCGCTGCTCCTTACCACTCGGCTCGCTGCTCCTTAGCGCTCCCACGGAGGCAGGAGAGGCTTCTGCCACCGCCACTGTGCTCACCAGCCGTGAGCCCTATCTTTCTGTGTAGTTGTCTGTGGGCTAACTGCTCTCTTCCTTCTCATTTAAGGTGAGCAGCATGTGAGGGCAGAGCATGCTGTTGTGGAACAGAGGGCTGCCCAGAGCTGAGGGGAGTGGCCGGGCCCATGGGATGAGAGGTGGACACAGAGGACGCTATCTCACCCAATTGTGGGATGGGCTGGCTGGCCTTCATCGGCCTGACCCCACCCAGGGAGGGACCAAGCAGGGTGTCCGCCTCTCCATTCTCCATCTTTCCATCTGTGACACCTGTCACCCTTGCCAGGCCTCCCCCAAAGTGAGTTCAGCTCAATCCCTGAATGTAAAAGGACACGGCGGCGGGGAGGGGAGAGGTTTCACTCCAGTGCCCCCTGATTCCTAGCGACAGGACCTGGTTTCAGGATGGTGGCCACAGCTGCAGAACATAGATCTGTTTCAAGAAAAGTTGGGAATGCAGACTTTTGTATGAGCCCCTATTCCAAAAGGTGGCAGTTTATTCACATTTTGGCAAAGACACCTTCAAGAGTAACATAAGTGGGTAAAGTCAGGGCCAAGCCGGGCCATTTCCTCATCCAGTCTCTCTCAGACATGTGGACAGAACCAAGTCTCAGCTCTTTGCTGGACACTTTTGGGTTTTTTTAAGCCTAACAGACAGCAGTCTGTCTCCTTTGTGATTTTTTTTCACCGTTGGATAAAAGGATACGTACATTGGGGCAATCCTCTCTAGATACAGTATTCCAATTGCATCCATGTGAGGACGACAGTGGCCCTCACAGGGAGGGAGCCAACAGATGGGGAGCAGGGAATTCTGAAAACCAAAGCGATGACAGAGATGCTAAGCCTTTCCTTCATGCATCTGACACCCCTCCTCAGGCGGCCTGTAGGCTGGGCGTCTGCTGGAACTTTACCACTTGATGTCCTGCCCCGTGTGCCCTGCCCTAGCCCTGGAGTGTAGGGGACATCCGGGCGCGCCCCTCCCCCAGCTGGGAGAGTCCCCATTGTGCTCTCACCTCCTTGGGAAACTTTGCTTTTCCAGCTCTGTTCCCGCAGGAGAGCCATAGGGGCGCCAGATCCCTTTCCTTCCTTCAAAAGTGCCCTGAAAAGCGCGAAGGCAGCTATGCTGGGAAGGGGTCGCTCAAGTTCAGCAAGAGTTTGCGTTTTGCCGAAGGCGCGTTGAACAGTTTTCTCTTACCCTGTTTGTGGGAGTGTAATCTGATTTAAAACCAATGGACTAAACAAACAGAAGCACTTTCTGCAGGGAGCTCTGGGCCCCAGGTTTGAAGGCCGGCCGCTCTTGGATGGCGGGAGACCCAGAGTTCAGCCGGCCCGGCCGGGCCCAGACCTCCCTTCGGCCGCCTCGCCCCAGCCAGAGGGAATTCTGAGCCCTGGTGGCGACAGGAAGCTCTGGGCCCTGAGTTTGAAGGCCGGCCACGCCCCCATTAGAGTTCCACAGCGTCCCAGCCAGGGCCCAGAGCTCCCTTCAGCCGCCAGCCCCAGCCAGGACCCAGGGCCCAGTCATTTGGTTGTCCCTCACTGCCCCCCCTGCCGGCCTGGTCGCCCCACGCAGCCTCCTGTTCAGTCGTTTAGGACATGACGACCCCGGGTTTTTATATATTAGGATTTTGCATATAGTAGGAATTTAATACATATTTTTTAAAATTAGGCTCTTATGTAAAGCCTACATTGATTTCAGATTTGTAAAAAAGGCATTTAAAAACATGTCATTCACATAAATAGTCTGGAAGGATATTTATTGTACCAAGATGTTAACAGTGGAATTATGGCTATTTTAAAACTTCCCTTTGACTTGTCTGTATGTTTATGTATGGGCATATATTGTTTGGTGTTTTCTTTTTTAATGTTTTTATTGATTTTTAATAGAAAGAGAGGAAGAGAGAGAGAGAAACATCAATGAGAGAGAAACATCTATTGGCTGCCTCATGCATGCCCCCTGCTGGGGATCAAGCCTGCAACCTGGGCTTGTGCCCTGACCCAGAATCGAATATCTGATCTCTTCATGCATGGCTTGATGCTCAGCCACTGAGCCACAAAGGCCAGGCCATATATTGCTTTTTATAGTGTAGAAAATTGCTTGTAATTTTTAAATATTGTTAAATTTAATTTTGATCTTTAAGATTTTATTAGGTAAATGAAACATCTTCAGCTAGACAGAATAAATAGTAATAACATATATCTGTATTAAACATATATTCACATGCTGCTGAATGCTAAAAAATTCTCAGAAATAAAGATAAGAATTGTAATCAGATCATTATTTGGATAACATATTACTAGGGCAGGTTGTATTAGTGTTAAGTGACACAAAGTTCTAATAAAATACTCATATGGGGTTAATGAGACTTGTTTTTCTTATAGAATTACGGATAGGATAGTTGAGGAGAGCCATGGGTAAATATTAAGCTCTGTAAATATAACAGTTTATGGAAATATGCAGTAGTGTTATTTCTTTAAATTTTCAGCATAAATTTGGAAGAAAAAAACATGAAATTTAAATAATTAAAATTTTTTCCTTTTTTCTTTTTAAGGAATCAAGGAAGGACTGAGGTAAGATTATTTCTGTTTAAACTTTATTTAAAACATGAGATTATTTTACTGTGCATTAGTAATAGCAAAGAGAGGGTGGTGTTTGTATTCTGGAAAACTCCACATCAAACTAGTAGCTAATGGTCAGGAACACATAGTAGTATAAACACCACTCGTGTGTGAATGAGTGGGCTCCTTTCTAGTTGTTCCTTCTTAGCATTTTTCTACTTTGACCTAAAATATCCCCTCTCAGTATTTACAAAAGTTAGTATTACTTCAGTAATATTTTAACATTATTTCAGTGTGGCAGAGGCATTTGATTTGGATCTTTGAGGGCTTTAGATTTTGACCCATTAAGTCTAGGATATAATTTTCATTACCTAGCACACAGCAGAGAGATATTTAATAAATACTCCATAATCTTCCTCCATGGTTGGGAGATCAGTATTTTATGTTTATAAATCTCTCCGATGTAATATTTGATATTCTTTTGGTGAGATCTAGTATGTAGTAAAAATCATTTTGAAAGAATGTGTACTATGTTTTTTTTTTTCTAACCCTCAACATTAAATTATCCTTGTCAATAGTCAGTCGTACTTATTAAAGTATTCAAAAATAAAACAGCACCATGTAATCACAGTAGTTATTAAGACCTACAGAAGAAATGTATCCTCTGTTTATTGGAATGTTTAAGCTTTCTAAGTAGCTCACTTTTCCCCCTCCAGGTACAATTGCTTTCTTAATTTACTTTAAATATTCACTCATTCAGCAAATACTGTTTTCCTTCTCTGTGCCAGGCACTGTCTAGGAGATGTATATATTTTAAGGATATAAATATAACAAGGCATGGTCTCTTGACCTCAAAGAACTTAGGGGTAAACATTATATTCCTATTTTGGAAATAGAATTTCGTCAGCTGTAGACCAGAGAAAACATTTGAAAGCTATTTGTATTTATAATGGTACATTAGCCCCATTATTCTGACAAGTGGGAAGTCTCTTTTTATGACTGAAGTATTAAAATTTTAGATGAAGTTTAAAAAATGCTTAAATGACTAGAAGAAATTCACATTTAAAAAATTATTTGACTTACCAGAATTTCTGTACTTTTGAATATGAAAGTCTGTTGTAATAAGCTTTACTTAATGTGTCTATTAGGTGTCATTTACTTTGAATGAGGATCTTGCAAATATTCATGATATTGGTGGAAAACCAGCTTCAGTCAGCGCTCCTAGAGAACATCCATTTGTCTTGCAAAGTGTTGGAGGACAAACATTAACAGTATTTACTGAGAGCTCTTCAGGTAAGTGAGAATAGAATTATTTAATGTGATTCCTGTACATGTTGAATAGATTTTCTGTCTCAACATGCACTCTAAGGTCATTACCAAGGCTGTTCCACCTATTGTTCTACTTCTGTTATTCATATCATGCTACTTCTCTTTACCGTGATTGATGAATTTTGGGTGTTATTTGAACCGTTTAATTTCCACTTGGGGCATAAAGAAATAGAACAAAGCAGATGGAAAAGTGTGGTGCACCAAGCTGTCTTCTAGGATGTTGAAAAAACAGTATTCTGAGTTTTGCCAGGATAAAGTCATCCTTGCCTGTTTTGGTAAATTGATATTCAGCAGCTATAACTTTTTAAAAAAGATATATTTTATTGACTTTTTTACAGAGAGGAAGGGAGAGGGATAGAGTTAGAAACATTGATGAGAGAGAAACATCGATCAACTGCCTCCTGCACACCCCCTACTGGGGATGTGCCCGCAACCAAGGTACATGCCCTTGACTGGAATCGAACCTGGGACCCTTTAGTCCGCAGGCCGACGCTCTATCTACTGAGCCAAACCGGTTAGGGCTCAAAAAGTTTTTTGGTGATATAAAAGATCCATGATTTTGTCATATCTTCATTAAACATTACAAAGAAAGCTATACAAATTATAGTATATTAAGAACATCATTGTTTTAAAAAAGGAATATGCTCAGATAAAATTTTTGTAGTGTCTTGGTTTACTAATAACTGCATAAATTGAATTTTAAAAATTAGTCTTTTTCTTTTTTTCCTTTGGACATAGAACCTAAAAAAATGGTAAATTAAAACTTTTCAGTAATGTGATTTAACATAAAAGAATTGGTTTATTGCATTATTCTGATGCTATTGTAATTTGTAATGTAATATTACGGGAGGTAGAAAATATTAAATATATGCATTTTCTGCCCTGGCTGGTGTGGCTTAGTTGGTTGAGCATCTTCCCATACACCAAAAGGTCACTGGTTCAATTAGGGCACATACCCAGGTTGTGGGTTCAGGTTTGGTCCTGGGTTGGGGTACGTGCAAGAGGCAGCTCATTGATGTTTCTCACATTGATGTCTCTCTCTTTCTGTCTCCCTCAGTTCCTCTTTTCCTCCTCTTTCTCTCCCTCCCTCTCTTCCTCTCCCTTTTCTCTCTCTAAAATCAATAAAGACATGTTTTTTAAAAACACAGACATTTTCTCATGGAGAAGATTTGACCATTCAGCAGATGTTTATTGTATGCAGCATTGTGCAGGGCATAGCATAGGCACATCCAGGGAATCTGAAATTTGTCTTGTGATTGATGGGATTTAGTAAGACCTATTGAACCTGCAAGATTTTCTCTACCTTTGTGATTATCCTGGAATGGAAGAGACATGGAACCAAGATGGCAAGAAGGAGGCAGAACCTTGGAGAAAGTTTGAGATAGTGGAGCTTGAACTTCCCCTGTAGAATAAGGTGCTCTATTTCAGAATTTTTACATCTTATTATATTGCTAATTTTTCCAAAGCATGATTTGTTGCTGGTACACAAAAGATAGTAATTTAGAAAGCTAAGTTTTGTTATCCTCAGAATTAATCTTCCGTTGTTAATCTTATAAACCCTTTACTTTGTGTTATACTCTTTTTGAACATTTTTTGTTCACATTTCTGGTTACAGTATACTTCAAAGTGAATGTGGTATAAGGCAGCGGTCGCCAACCTTTCGGACCTCATGGACCACCAGTGGTCCGAGGACCACCTGTTGGCGACCGCTGGTATAAGGATTATCTTGGAAAGGGATCAAGATTGTCATCCTTCTTCTGGAGTTTGGACAATATGTTCTGCTTTGTAGAACTGTGCTAACCCAAATACAGGTCTAAGTTGCTATTAGATGGTTTACACTGTCAGGGAATTTTTTGCTTCTTAATCTCATTAATCATTTCTGTTTTGTGTCACTGTTATTTGACATTCTTTGTACTTTTCTGTACTTTAATTTCCGTATTCGTGAAATGAGAATAACAATGATTTACATTTATGTATAAACATAAGTATATTTAAAACTTAAGACAATACAGTATTTAATAAATGCTCAATAACTATTACTAATGTTAATAATAGGTATTATTTTTAAACACTTTAGGTTTCAAGGTTATTTTAAGGCAGGAGCATACTCTATTTGGGTGTATATCACTTGATAAAATCCAGCCAATAGAGATTTTTAAATTCGGTATTTTTGATTGGATGACCAAGAAAAAATCTCTAGAGTTGTTACTTATTACTAAGTTTATTTTCTTTTCTGAGGAGTCTTTTTTTTTTTTTATATATATATTTTATTGATTTTTTACAGAGAGGAAGGGAGAGAGATAGATAGTTAGAAACATCGATGAGAGAGAAACATCGATCAGCTGCCTCCTGCACATCTCCTACTGGGGATGTGCCGGCAACCCAGGTACATGCCCTTGACCGGAATCGAACCTGGGACCCTTGAGTCCGCAAGCCGACGCTCTGTCCACTGAGCCAAACCGGTTTCGGCTCTGAGGAGTCTTACATTTGTTTGCTATTTCTGTTCATTAAGTCATCAGTTCTACAACTGAGTTCCATGGCTCTGTAATTGCTATGACATATTTAAAATGCTAGAGATATATATATATATATATATATATATAAATCTGCATGTTTCTCTTCAGGACAGGACCATAGCTCTCATTGGAGTTTCAGGACAGGACCATAGCTCTCATTGGAGTTTCAGAGAGGTCTGTGACCCAAAAAAAACTTCAGAGCTACCACTCTAGTGTTACTTTTGTTGGTCATGAACCGGTCAAAGTATAAGTAACAGCCATTTTACATTAAGTGTTTATTTTACATTGAAATATACATGTGGGAGAGAGAGGAAACCAAGATGGCGGCATAGGTTAACGCCGGAGATTGCTGCCTCGAACAACCACTTCAGAGATATAACTAAGGACAGAACGGACATCATCCAGAACCACAGGAAGGCTGGCTGAGTGGAAATTCTACAACTAGGAGGAAAGAGAATATCATACCCAGACTCAGAGGAGGCGCAGTGCTGAAGTGAAATACTCAGGTGCGGAGTGCGCGCGCGGAGCGGGCTGGCGGCGGAGGGCGCGATTGTTGTTTTCAGTCGGGAGGGAGTTTCAGACTCTGAGCTCCAGATCTGGGCGAGTCTCTAGGGACCCAGACTCAAACGGGAGAAGCGGGACTGTCTGGCTTCGGTCGGAACTCGAAGGCAGCTTTCTCTCCGAGGTTTGCAGCGGTTGCTGGGACTCTGTGAGGCAGAGTCCTTAGGGACGGAACTGAGAGCAGCCATAACTGCTCGATCCGGCCCGCCCTGTAGATCCCCGGGGACCCGCCCCGCCCAAGCCCTGCGCAGAGCCATTTGCTGGATAGCCTCAGACAAAGGCTAGATTAGCACCGCCCTAGAGATCCAGCACAGAAGCTCTCCCACTGCAGACACAGCTGACTCTCATAGCCAGTTAGCCTGGAGGTCAAATCACCCCTGGTATTACCGACAACAATCAAGGCTTAACTACAAGACTGCGCACAAAGACCACTAGGGGGTGCACCACGAAAAGATAAAAAAATGCGGAGACAAAGAAACAGGACGCAAATGTCAGAAATGGAAGATATAGAGCTCAAAACCACACTTTTAAGGTCTCTCAAGAACTGTCTAGAAGCTGCCGATAAACTTAGTAAGGCCCTCGAAAAGACTGGTGAGACCGCCGATAAATGTAGTGAGATCCTCAAGAAATCTAATGAGACCCTCGATGTTGTGATAAAGAACCAACTAGAAATTAAGCGTACACTGACTGAAATAAAGAATATTATACAGACACCCAACAGCAGACCAGAGGAGTGCAAGAATCAAGTCAAAGATTCGAAACGCGAAGAAGCAAAAAACACCCAACTGGAAAAGCAAAATGAAAAAAGAATCCGAAAATACGAAGATAGTGTAAGGATCCTCTGGGACAGCTTCAAGCGTACCAACATCAGAATTATAGGGGTGCCAGAAGATGAGAGAGAGCAAGATATTGAAAACCTATTTGAAGAAATAATGACAGAAAACTTCCCCCACCTGGTGAAAGAAATAGACTTACAGGTCCAGGAAGCGCAGAGAACCCCAAACAAAAGGAATCTAAAGAGGACCACACCAAGACACATCATAATTAAAATGCCAAGAGCAAAAGACAAAGAGAGAATCTTAAAAGCAGCAAGAGAAAGAAACCCAGTTACCTACAAGGGAATACCCATACGACTGTCAGCTGATTTCTCAACAGAAACTTTGCAGGCCAGAAGGGAGTGGCAAGAAATATTCAAAGTGATGAATACCAAGAACCTACAACCAAGATTACTTTATCCAGCAAAGCTATCATTCAGAACTGAAGGTCAGATAAAGAGCTTCACAGATAAGGAAAAGCTAAAGGAGTTCATCACCACCAAACCAGTATTATATGAAATGCTGAAAGGTATCCTTTAAGAAGAGGAAGAAGAAGAAAAAGGTAAAGATACAAATTATGAACAACAAACATGCATCTATCAACAAGTGAATCTAAGAATCAAGTGAATAAATAATCTGGTGATCATAATAGAATCAGGGACATAGAAAGGGAATGGACTGACTATTCTTGGGGGGGAAAGGGGTGTGGGAGATGCGGAAAGAGACTGGACAAAAATCGTGCACCTATGGAAGAGGACAGTGGGTGGGGAGTGAGGGCGGAGGGTGGGGCAGGAACTGGGAGGAGGGGAGTTATGGGGGGAAAAAAAGAGGAACAAATGTAATAATCTGAACAACAAAGATTTAATTAAAAAAAAAAAGAAATATACATGTGGTAGGCATTATCTTGAATATTTTTATGTTTTCCCTCAAGCATAAACTGTATTTGCTTATAAAAATTACTTTTTAGGTTCATTTCTTTTTAATAGTGCAGCAGGTCTATAAAACAGAATTTTCTAAGAATAATTAAAATCTATTTAAGTTCATTGTGTTGTTTTTATTTTAATAAGAGAAA